TCCCCGCACCCTCGAATCCGGGGTTGTCCGCACTGCCCAACAGTGCCTCCACTTTCTGAAACATGCCCTGCCGCAGCCACCTTGTTTCATCTTCGTGTTTGAGGGTTTGCACCCCAGAACCCCGTTTTTGAGGGCTCGTCCCTCTTTCCTTCGCGTTTGAGGGCGCTCTGTGCTTGCCAGTGTGTCTAGTCGCGCCCAGTCGCGTTTCGGATCACTCCTCCGTGATCGGCCATCATCGGCCGATGATCAGGTCATTGGACTTTGACCCAGTGCGATAATCCTGGCTGAACGGGGTCTTTTGAGGCCTTTTCAGCACAATTCCATGCGTGAACGCGTGCCTCGCTTGTCACTATATAACTCAGGATGTATATATGCTAGAGGGGCAGGGGCACCACTTTCTGAGAGGTGGACCATTCCCTTACTGGTCTATGTGCTTTGATTTCTCAGATTCATAAAGGCCAGGACATGGTGAACTCATCATCTTTGCAATGGATAACACTGATAATGGTACTGTGAGAGATCCAGAATAGCTATGAGGTTGATTCAAGTGCTAGAAAGGTTCATTTGAAGTTCTATACTATCCTACGTTAAAGTCTTGTATCATACTTGAAATTAATTTCTGACCAGTTGTAATAGCAAAGACACTCTTTTCTGCTCTAGGGGTACCTACCCTCTCTTTAGCTACCTTCTGTAACACATGCCAGAACCACGGCTAATTACAGTACAGGCTCCTAGTAGATATCCAGATACCCCCATCCATGCATCTCAATGTCCAGTACTCAGCCTATAGACCCACTATTCATGTAAACTAGTTTCACACCTAACTGGTCTTTGAATGTCCATCCAAATTCATCCTTTATCAGCATTCAGACATCAATCAAAGTATGTCTGCATATACCTCATTGACTCAATTTGACATATTTTGATTCATAATCACCTGGCAGATCATGGCTGTATTGTCAATATCATGTGTAATAGTAGTCATATGTATAATGGAGAAGAACAAGCAATTACACGGATATAGGATCATGGAGAGCATACTACCTCTTAGGGGGACCCTTCTGTATGCTTCCTACCTTTATCTCATCAGTGATCCTGTACCTCTAAGTAAGTTATTGGGAGATTGGAATAACAGGATATATGCCATATATACAGGTATGTAGGGTGTCTAAAAATATGTGTGTCTTTCAGAACTATAATGGACATCCAGCCGGCTATAACACAACTTAGATCATGGTTATCCATGCATTCCTCACCCAGATATCATAACATCATCATGCTTGATCAAATTCAAAACAGAAAAACCACAGAAAAATGGTATAACAGTATATTTCAAAGGTCTGGGACTATGGTCATATAGGACCATATCAAGACAATATGACCACCTACCTACTAATGCAACAATCATCCGAATCCATAGAGAACTAGTAGAGATATAGCTAGATTAATAAGTCTGATGCACAATCATTAGATAGTATGGATATACTGATAATATCATATTGACAGGGATATTGACCCTACCACTCAGGTATCCTTAGTAGAACTTCACTCAGCTCTGTAGCCACTCTAGTTGTTGAGATATCATTTTATTAGTGGTAGATCAGCTAGTGATTGGCTAGTGTGGACACAACTAATCAGATGCCACTATAGGTTACTTAATGGAAGTTGTTTATATAGACAATATAGATAACTTTGGTTTGTGACGATCTGTGACATTCTCTAATGATTGCATCGTCAAAGGGTGGAAATTTCCTTTTTTGGAAACTTGTCATGTATATCATGTTGTGTTACAGTATATAACCATATAATATAGTGTCTGAAACTACCAGCTCTAGTGTCTATTGACAAAAGTTCCTTTTTGGGACACTGTGTAACATGTCACATAGCGTGACTCCGAGAGACTTGGCCTAGATGGCCTATGTCATATTATTCACCTTTATTCACCCCCCCTATATACTGGACTTAGCGAAAAATTTGCCTTGGACTTCACAATTATTCACCCCCTTCACCACCAATTATTCACCCCTCAGTAGATTTGTGGGCTTATCAGTGGCAAGCGTGCAGGTTGCCACTGATAATATACAGTGGGTTTTGGGCTAAACAGGTGACCATGTGGTTGAAGGCATGTCATTTCATAGGGGAATCCCTCTACATGCTTCCCACCTTAATCTCATTGGAGACCCCTCACCTCTAAGTAGGTTGTTAAGAGATTGAATTCATAGGACATATGTCATATATACAGGTATATATGATATCTAAAAATATAAGGGGTACCAAGGGCTATCATGGACATCTATTAGACCTGAATACAACTTGGATCATGATTATCCATAAATCCCTCAGCAAGATATCAAGTGATCATTGTGCCCGATCAAATTTAAAATGTGGAAACCAGGGAAAAGTTGTATAATATTGGAGTCTCCAGATATGGGACTACAATAACATCAGAACATTTAAAGCCTAGATAACTGGCTACCTACCAGTACAACAATTATCTGATTTCATACAGAATTAGTGGAGATATTTCAGTATCAATGGATGTGATGAGCCATCATGAGATGATATAGGTATACTACCAACATTATATTTTTGAGAGTATTGGTCTTAACATTCAGGCACCCTAAGTAGTGCTTTAATCACCTATGTGGGTTGTCTACATAGTAAGATATCACTGTACCAGACATAGATCAGCTAATGATTGGCCAATGCTAATATAATTACTGAGCTGTCACTATATGTCACTTAATGAAAGTTGTTCATATAGTCAAAGTATACAACTTTGATCTTGTGACATTGTGTGATGTTCTCTGTACTATTAAATGGTAAAAAAAATTCCTTTTTGAGGGATATGTCACATTTGTGACACTGTAGTTGAAACTAGTATCATCAATCTATATATAGTATGACATAATATAACAAATATAGTCAGATGTCATATAACAGTGTCATATCTCATAGTTACTTAGGTACTAGATTTGGCCTACAGTAGTACTAAGCATTTCCTTTTTTGGTAACTTTCAACAATGTAATCATAATATGTCACTGGAGAGAGTCAATATTACAGTCTACACGCCTTGTACTTAGTCCTGTCAACTGAAATTTCCTTTTTTGGCAAGCATTAATGATCTGTTAGCTGAATATTCATAGTAGATATTACAGCATAGGTTGCCGACTTAGCATTCAAGTCTTAGGCCCCAGAATCATTACATTTATTGCAACTTTAAACTCTATTTATTGCAGCATTAGGCTGTTTACAGAAACCTTTCTAGTTAGAATGCACACCACGCTGTAGCGTACATTCTAACTACAAGGGATGTGTGGGATTAACAGGTGCACACACGTCCAGTCACGCGCCCGGGCCTCCTCACAAGAAGAAGCACGGGCTCGGCGCGGGCATCATGCATGGGCAGGGGCATAATCACCAGTCCCCCATGTGCCGCCTCCTACCCGCCGAGTGCCGGCTAGCCGAACTAGACACAGCGGCGCAGCGAGGCTCCTCAGGTTTGGGAGGGCGCTCGTCACAGTGTGACTCTGTTTCAGAACAGTGTAACACTGTGACATCCTCTGTGTCATCCGTGCGGGCCTGCCTGGCGCCGCGTCCAACAGGACCAGGGTACAGCATGCGACCCTGCATGCAGCGGCAGCCCGGTGTGATGTGTGTAGTGATGGCCAGGTCTGGTTTGGGATTTTGGTTTGAACCCGGACCAGACCGGACTGAACACGCGTTCGGCGTTCAGGTTTGGCCAAGGCCATTTCCAAACCGAACCTGGCCCTCGGTTCGGCCAGGTTCGCCCGTTTTCGGTCCAAAAACGCCAGTTCGGGGCTGGTCCGAACCGGCGTTCAGCAAAATCCCGTTTTGAACCGGCCCGGCGTTCCGGCGTTCCGGCGTTCGGCCGAAAAGGGCCAAGAACCGGACCGAACCGGACTTGGTCATCACTAGATGCGTGACATCAGCAGCCGAGACCTCCGGTCTTGGTGGGTGTGGCATGGTTACGTGTATGGGTTTGATTGATTGATTGGTGGGTGGTAAGTCGCGTACTTAGATGGCTGTCTGTTCTGTAGCCAGGTATAGCGCTTGGAGGTGCACTGTGCGGGCTGAACCAAGGCCTGATTCCTGTACCTTTGTATGTTATTTGTAGTATGTAGTATGTATGCACTAGGGACTCATGTATGCAGGGTATTAGGACTGGGGCTCATGTGAATGCATACTAGTTCTCCAGAGTCCAGACACGAGGAGGAACACTGCAAATCCAAGGAAGGAATTTCATTCCATATATCTCATATCTTGATACTGACGAGCCTCCAGCCTCGTCATCACTGCTTAGTCATCATTGATCCGTCGGATGTGCCATCCTTCTGGGACCACTCCGGCACATATGTTCCTTTTTGTCCCTAGTTCCTGTTCCTGATATTCAGTAGCTCCTATAGCTTTTAGTATAAAAAAGCTTGTAGTAGTTTAGTTTCTCCAGAATAGTCATTCTCCCACTTTTGTCCACTTCTGTCCTCTGTCCATCCCTCTGCCTCTCTGGATTTGTTGAGCTGTTTCCTTTGGAGCAGTGAAGCAGTTTGGAAACACTTGCCATATTTAGTCACTTGCTCATTTGGTGAGCAACGCGTCATTTTGGAGCCCACCCGAGGGTTTTCAAAAATAGCTTCTGACTCCTACGGCTTACGGCCCAACTCATCCCGAACCGCCGACCGCGAACTCCGTCAAGAAGTCCTCGCTGCGCTTCACGACCCCTACCTGTCGGCTCCTTTCCTCCCTGGCGACCCCGACGATCTACTCGAACCCGTACCTGATTTATTTGCGACTCACACCAATCTCACTCCTCACCGACACGGAGATCCAACACTAGCTTGGCTATTCGACAACCCACCTACACCCATCGACGAACAAGACGACACCCCCGACAACCAGTCCCCGCCTGACTCTCCCACACCCAACCGCGCACCTCTCCAGTCCCACCACCTCGATTACCCCTGCCAACCATCAGCCCCTCATGGCTCCCATCCCTATGCCTGCTCGCGGCGCCCATACCACGCCTCGGTTCGACTCTACCAAGCCTGGTGAGCTGCGCCGCCGCCGACGACGACGACGAGTTCCTGCTCGCCCAAGCCGCCATCACCACCACGCTCGAGAAAAAGAAGGCGTGCTCACGCTACTTGTCAGTTGCAGACCAAGAACTGGTCGAAGGCCTTGACGAGTTCAGCGACGCCACCAAGACCTACGAGGAATTCAAGAAAGCGGCTTTAGCGCACTATGCGGGCAACGACGAAGACCACTTACACACCTTGAAAGACTGGGACGCGCATCTCCCGAGTCGGCAGCACCGCCCGTGTGGGTATCCACTCTGAAGCGGAGCTGGCCACGTTCTACCGCACCTTTGTCCATATGGGCAAATTCCTCATCGCCAAGAAGCGTCTCTCCGAAACGGAGCAAAGCCACGTGTTCCTGCGCGCACTGCAGCCTGCTTCGCTCCAAGCCGCTGTCAAGCAGTGCCTCCAAATCATCCGCCCAAACATCCACGCTGACGACCCGTATGAGCTGAAAGACTTGTACGAGGCAGCGAAATCCCACTGGCGGGGGCCCCATCCACTTTCCTGTCCACCACCGACTCCCTCGTAAAGCCCGAGCCAGCCCCAGCTGCGATGAACTCCGAGCTCAAAGAGATGCTCATGTCGTTGACCAAGCTGGTCACGGTGCTCGGCCACCAGATTCAGACCAACCAGCGCAACGCGGCCCAGCCCAAGTCTATGAGGCCAGTTATCACAAAAAATTATTTGCTTGTGGTTTGTGGTTTATGACTTATAGTTATGTTCACTTTCTGTGGTTGAGGCCATTTTTGTGCTTGTGGTATACATGGTTGAGGTTTTGATTTCCGTGGTTAAGGTTTTGATTTCTGTGGTTGAGGTTTCAGGGCTGTATTGTAAGTGTCTAGAAGCTAAAATTCAGATTTCCTTTCTCCCTCCCATCAGATTCAGATCAATTCATCAATGCTCTACGATAAGTTAATACTCTTTGCAAAGCTCCAAAGTCTGGACAGCTTTACTTACCAGGTGATTTATCTGGGGATCTTGCAGTTCAAATGTCTGAGGGCCTGAGGCTCTCTGACGCTTGGTGAGATCAGGAGAATCTAGATATGAAGGAGGTAGGTGCCTTAAACTGCGATAGCAAGATTGATGGGATTGATCGGCCATCATAATATCAATTTGTACGAGATTTAAATGTGGGTAAGAGGTCTAATGTATGATACCTGAAGCTCAAACATAATGAACATGACCATAAATCTCATAGCACAACCACAAACCATCAATTGAGAAGCAAAAACCATGTAGACCACACACCACAACCTGGTAAAAAAACCACAACCATAAAGCTGTACCATCTTTAACACCTCAATGGAAAGAGCACAGACTCCAATAACTAAATTTTTGTGGAAACTGCTCTTATACAAGTCTGACAACGCGCGCGCCCGCAAACCGGGTTCCAACCCGGGCTGCGGCTACTGTCGAAAACCGACTCACTACGTCGGTGAGTGCAAAGACGTCAAGGAAGACCTCCTAGCGGGGTTAATCAAAAAGAATCAGCAAAACCGCATTGTTCTCCCCAACGGCGAGTACGCACCTCGTTCCCTGGAGGGCAAGTCCCTCCGTGAGAAGGTACAGAAGTGGCACGAGGAGAACCTTGGGAGAACCCCGGCCGCAAAATCCAGCCCCAGATGGTTGTCGAAGTCGTCCCCCAGCAGCACGCGCACGCCGCCGAACCCTGCCTCTCTGCCCATCACCACCCCACTCACTCCTTCGTCCTGAGCACGGAAGAGCGCCTCGAGTCGATGGCCGTCGAGCAGCACATGCTGCGAACGCGTATGGCGGCGAAAAGAGAGAAGGAGGCAAAACCAAGAAGGGTGACGTGACACCCGCTGACCGAGACACCGCCGATCACGGAGCCAAGCCCGCGGGACCGGATAGCCGCCCGATCATCGCTCCAGCCGCTTCTCTCTCTGACTCCGCCACTGCCAGCGCATCGACCACGGCCAACGCGTCCACCTCAGACGCGGTCCCACCTCCCGCGGTACCCTTCCCCCGAACACCCATACGCAGCCGCACGCGACGCCGCTTACGCGCCACCTAAAGACCGCAACGTGGGTGCAGCCCCAAAAGCTCAGCCACGCGCTTATGCGCCAATCCACGACGCGCACAATACGAACGACCTGTACCAAGCCGTGCTCAACACGCCGGTAACCCTCCCGGCACGCACTATCCTCGCCAATCCGGAAGTCTCGGCACTTGCACGCGCAAATCTGACCCCGCGGCGAATCACCGAGAAGAAGGCCGCCGAACAGCTCTATCAAGCCGAACACCCTCTCGCTGGCTTCAATGACTGGGCCTCCGACCCTGCTGACGAACGCGAGACCGCCCGCGCCGCCGCTATCGCCTACGCGCTCCCGAATACGGCCACGCCAGCCTCCGCCGAATCTCGCGGCAAGCTCGTCAGCAGAGACGAATACGTCCTGCTCTACGATGTTGGCCAGCTCCCCGAAGACTTGGTCGTCTCGGCCAAAACCACAGCTATCCGCTGTGTACTTCCCGTCGTCGACAACCATGAGGCTATCGAAAGCATTGTCGACCCCGGCTCTCAGATCATCGCAATGTCTGAGGAGGTCTGCCACCGTTTAGGCCTCCAATACGACCCCAACATCGTCCTCCAGATGCAGTCCGCCAACGGCGCTGTCACCCCCGTCCCTCGGCGTCGCCCGCAACGTCCCTTTCCGCTTCAAGGACATCGTCCTTTACCTCCAGGTCCACATAGTGCGCAATCCGGCCTACGACATCTTGTTGGGCCGCCCGTTCGACACCTTGACTCGCTCGGTGATCCACAACTATGCAAACGACAACCAAACAATCACTATTCACTGTCCTAACACCGACCGCGCTGCCACCATCCCAACGCTTCCGCGCGGCTCCGCCCGCGCTGCCAAACTGGATTTTATCCAGGACAAGATGATCCGCTGGAAGCGCTAGCCGCGGACAACGAAATCGCGCTCGTGATCGACCACGACGCGCTCACGGACTCATTTCACATCTCGGCCTACAAATCACTCGAATCAGACACCCGCGAACACGTCCAGCTCGCTTATCTGGCGGCCTGCAACAACATAGGTAACTCCTACGATACCGTGCATTGCGCGCACTACGCCGCGCAACCGGCTTTCACTCTAATCGACGGCGATTCAACTCGCCCGTCATTTCCCTTCCCTCCATCTCACTCATCTACTACCAGTGGGCTAGTCCCCATATTCTCTATCCACAACTCTCAGCGCCTTCCGCGCGCACGGCCTTTTACTCCTCTACTGAACTACTCGTACCTGACTCACTTACCTCACCTTACAGACCATCTCCTTCTCCACTCTCACCACTACATGCTTTCGTACATAGCTTCCGCCACAACCCAACGGAACGAGAATCATGTACCCACTCGCCAGCCGCTCTCTTTTACTACAACTTCTCACTCGCTGCTCCCCACGACCATACGAAAGGCTGTCCGTCTTGTTCCTGCTTGCAAACGATGGAAGAAAATTGACAAGGAGGGGTTTGCCTTACCTGCGTGCTTCAGCAATTCGGAAATTCTCCTTGGTCGCCGCGCCTCAAGATATACTTCCTGCGAACGCAAAAACCCGAACCTCGCTGTTTCAATGTTCCAAAGCTCTTCACGGAAGGCAATCCTGTATCCCCAGTCCAGCGCACCGACTGCAATTGTCGCGTCTGTCCTGTCCCGCCCTCAGCACGTGCCGTCACGCGTGACTCGTCACCTCATCCGACGACTCTTCAATGGCGCGTCCTGCGGCGCTATCGACCGGTGCTCGTGCTGCTACGATATACACACATGGTGTCTATTTCTTTTGGCCCGTGCTAGTCGGGTTTAAAGCCTTCGCTGGACGCGTTTTTGCTCGCGAGTGGACTCCGGCGTGGGCTTGGTCGCGAAGCTGGGAATCTGCTGGGAGAGGGGATGTGGTCGTGGAGGGGGCGTATATGGATGTGTTTGTGGTGCTTTTAGCGCCGCGGATTTTGTGAATGTAGCGTTTACAGTACTGAGTTCCTTCATGTAGAGTGTTTCTGTTTTAACAAACAATATAGTATCTGTCTTGAAGGCGGTCCGATGCCCGGCGTTCAGCGGACAACTCGAGGAGGGCAACGTGTCAGTGGCCGGGCAGGATTTATGCTGGAGTACTTGCAGTGGGGAATTCTGCCCTAAATTCTATGGTCTCGGAACGCTTTAACAACGGCACTTTTTTCTTGCTGTTGCGTTAGACATATATTGAGTGGGTATGTAGACAGTTGCATACTATTGAATTACAGACAGTTTCGAAGGAAATTTGGACACCTGTAGCTGTAAGATCTAGGCAGTGCTTCTAGTGGCTGCTAGCACCCCCATTGCCTAGAAGGCTAGATCCTACTAGTCTAGCAACTGCTAGCAGAACTAGGCTAGATAGTGCTTACAAAGTCATCAAAAATCAGTATTGATACATCAAATTGATTAATATAACTAAGATATTACTATATATAGAAGTTTAACTCCTTTTCTTCAGGCCGATGATCCGGTATATAGTGAGGAAGGCCTGTATCAATTACTATCCTAATTGGGACAGGAATGATGTAGTATCATAGAGCCATCAAAAATTAGTGATGGCGATCAAAATTGGTACTACAGTGCACTGATAATGATAGATTCAAACAGGGAACAAGGACATTAAGGGTGAAGCTCCACCTAGTTGAAACTGGGACTTGATCTTCATATTTTGCATGGCATAAAAACAAAACCCAGTGAAAAATGTAGCTGCAAGTGACAAATATTGTTGCTTGAACTGACCGAGGACGGTCAAGATTCATGAAAAGGGGAGATAATGAGCCGTCAATATGACCACCATATGAAAGATAACATATGGACCCCATAAATTCATTTTCATGCACAATAGCTATGGAACATATGAAGAATCTCAGAATAAATGTTGCAAACCTTTGAATCAAATCTATATGCACCCGGCCACAAGATCTAGGCCTGCTAGGCCAGGGACTAGTCTAGACTCTGAACCGAACCAAGGTAACATGTCCATATTTGGCAAGTCTGACCCAGGACCTATATTAGAACCTTCCAGAAGCCTAAACTAGAACGTTCTAGAACCGGATCAGTGGATCAGGTCACATCATCACGTATTATGTAATTAATTTGAGAGTAGTATATAAGGAGGCCTGTAAAACCCTAGATTAATAGATTAGCCCCCCCTGGGTGTGCCTACTACCATTGTCACATCAGTCGGGTTTTGTCACACTTCACATATTGTCAGGTTAAGATAAACGTCAGGTTAGGTTAAGTGCAAGTGCAAGTGCTAGGAGAGTAGAGCCATATTGCTCCTCTCAAATTTCAACTCCTCACCCAACATCTGCTGTTTTCCAGTTCATCACAGTGAAAACTCCAATACAAGCTTATACAACATTCCAACTGTCAACTGATACTAACCAGAACATCTGAATCCGAGGGCCAGGTTTGGTTTGAACCCGGACCCGGACCGGACTGAAGCGCGTTCGGCGTTCAGGTTTGGCCAAGGCCGTTTCCAAACCAAACCTGGC